TACAAAAATCTTTTTCGTAGCTATGTGCTTGAGAAGATAAATGTTCATCATTATTAAGTTGGCTTTCTGGATCAAATACGGGTTGATCGTTAGCGGCGACCGATATTTCCGTTTTTTCAACTGAGGGCGAGTCGTTTGTTGTGGACGTCTCATCAATTTGCTGTGGACTGATGAGTGTTGACGGGTTATTGATGGAAGTGGTGGTGGTGATTTTGGTGGTGTTGGTGATGGTAGATTTTTCATCAATATTTTTTTCTGGTACTACCTCCAGCAGTCTAGTCGCTTGCATGGAGATTAATGGATGCGTGCAGAAATCAGTATTATTAAAAGGGACTTCCTCAGCGTACAGATGCCAAGTACACTTTGGTCGTGCGCCACTGATATGATAATTAGCACAACTGAACATAAGTCTGCTATCTCTTGCAGTTCGTAATACTACAGGCTTTCCACAAAAACAATTGGGCGCGGGAGGATGGCGCTTCGGATACTCATTTTGGATACCAAATACTATGCAAAATGTAAAATTGAAATAGGGACAAATTGATAGCTCCCGTTCACATCGTTTTACACGTTCATTTCGCATATATGCACGCATAAACATATCCCATGACCTTTTGTGAACGTGGAACCCACAAAACCCATTTGAACTACCAGAATTGAGTGAACATGTATGACGGCTGGATGGATCGACATTGACTTTTGCTCCTTCCTCCTAAAATTTTAATTGAATTGTTTAAAATGTCCGTGAAAAAAAACAATGATAAAATGTTTTTTTTTTAATCTTACTTCTTGATTAGAACCGCCGTTTTCTTTATCATCATTTTCTTTGGTATATTGGTCTACTACCTTTTGCCACGGATTAGCATGACGGTAATGACATTCATACAGTAGACCGAATTCCTCTGAATATACTGACGAAGCCGGAACATTACAAAAACAGTTCGGCAATTCAACAGCTAACCTGGTTCGTTCCATTTTGAATATTTGATTCTAGATCAGAGGAAATAATTTAGTCGTGATTTCCT